TGGAGGAGCTTGTCATGCTGGCTTTCCTGATGAACTCGGCTGTTTTCATCCTCCGAGGAGCTCGGGACCTCGTTAGCACTGAGAATGGCTTTGTTCACTTTGGGGGAGCTCTGGCCCTCACTTTAGGCATGGATCCCTAATCCATGGATCCAGAGGGGAAGATGGTGTACTGCCGGTCTCCTGGAGAAGCTTGCTGCATTGGCTTTCCTGACAGGAACTCAGCTGTCTTCACCACTGGAGGAGCTCGGGACCTCACTGCTGCTGAGGATGGCTGTGGGACCTTTCCGGGGAGCTCTGGTTCTTCTGAGCATCGCTTCCTGGCTCCAGTGCAGATCCCTCGGCCTGCTGGCACAGATCCTTCATCCCGCTGGCACAGACTTCCTAGATTCCACCACTGACCTTTGGGCCTTCCCAGCACAGATCTGTGAAACAGGCCTGCATGAGATGTTGTCTCGGGCTCTGGGCCTCCAGTTGGATTCATGGGAGGCATTGTTACGGGCTCTGGGCCTTCAGCTGGACTCATGCCGGACATTATCGTGGGATCCAGGCCCTCAGCTGGATCCCTGGTCTACAGTGTGTGGACAGACTTCCTGCACTCTCTCATATATGACTCTTTGGGTGACTGTTATAAATCATCTTATATGTGTCCTGTATTATATTGTTTCTCCTTGCAAAAATTCCCCAAATCAACACCCCCCCCCCCGATTTCTCCTTTGTGGCCTCATCTGGCTTTGGACTCCAGCTCGAGCTTGGCCCAGTGGCCTAGACCTTTAGACATCTCCGCTTTTCCGGTGGTGTTCACCTGCAGCACCAGAGCCTGTACAAGTTTACCCCAGCCCTCTTGCTGACGCATTTGCTGGGCACAGGGCTGGTCCTGGAGCTCAGCCCCTGCTGCTGCCGTCATGAGGAGGAGCCATATCATGGCTGCTCTGATCTTACAAAGCTCTTTTTCTTCCTTGAAATCACATGCTCATTTACAAAAGACAGTATTTTCCCCAAATCTTCAGACTTTTTTTTTTTTTTTGGTACCAGAAATTGAACTCAGGTCCTCCCGCTTGCCAGGCAGGTGCTGTGCCACTGAGCTACATCCCCCGCCTTCAAGGTATTTTTTTTCTTCTTTTTTCTTGTCTTTTTGAGACAGGGTCTCGCTATGCAGTTCAGGCTGGCCTTGAGCTCACTTATGTAGCCCAGGATGGCCTCAAACTCACAAGGATCCTCCTGCCTCAGCCTCCCGAGTGCTAGGATGACAGCGTGTGCTACTACGCTGACCCCAGGGTACTTGCAAGTGTTTCCATCTCACCTGGTGGTTTGGAGACATCCATCTCGTCATTATCCTTCCCACGTGGACAGAGATGTCCATCCCAAGATCTCTCCTGGGCAGACAACTGAGCCTCAGTACCCTACCTCACTCCCTGAGAGGGGCCGTGCCACAGCAGCCCCAGCTCTCCCATAACTCTGTCCCACGAGGACTAACTTCTGCGATTGCAGAAGGCACTTCAGGCCATCAGGAGCTTGGTGGGCACCCATGCACTCACGAGGTACACCACCCCATACCACATGGAAGAGGTTGGCCACAGGGGATTTCTACCAAAGGCGCTCCTCCCCGAGTTGTCTCTGGATATGTCAGGTCCCCAGGTTGGGTGCCATATGCTTCATAAATTTTCTGGAGAAACATAAAAGAAACACACAGCTGCTTTGGCGAGTTCAGAGGACAGTTTTCACTACATGCCAGGGCAGTGGGTCCTCACCTTGGCGCCCTGGACCTATGCCAGTAGGAGCCTGAGATGCCCGACTCTATCATCTCCAACCAAACGCACCCTGCCAGCTGTAAGAGCTGCTTGCTGTGGGAAAATCTGACCTGGCGGTGCCAAATGCATGCTGATGGGAAGGACGAGGACTCTGAGTTAGAAGAGGGGAGCGGGCCCAGCACCCCTTCCCTTCCCTTCCCTCGCAATCCCTAGGCTGCCTTTGAGCAATCTTCTCATCCCCAGAGACACTGGGCAGCCCCGCTGGAGACCGGGCCTCAGCATCCCCGACTCTGCCTCCTGCCTCCAAGGTCCAGGAAGCTTTCACTTGAATACATTACAGGTCTGCACTGAGAAAAGTTGCATTCCTGTCGAGGCCCAGGTGTGGGAATACAGGGAGGCGCCGGCCCCGTCCTCCTGATCTGGCTCTCCCTTGCCTGGAGGCCCTCTGCCTATGGTGGTACCCAGTGCCTCGGAGCTCAGAGACTGGCACCCGTGACTGAGGTCCTGCCCACCTCCGGGGCCCAAACGGACTGCAGCCCAAGCTGTGGGGACAGCCTGAGAAGTGCAGGAGCCCTCCCGGCCTGGCTTCCCCTTGGTCTGCAAGGCCCCTCAAGCTCAGGAGGGGAAAAGCACCTTTTGGGGGCCGTTCTGCCACCAACTAGAAGTGGTGCTGCAAGAGGGTGCGGGGAGCATATGCAGGAGCTCCCATTCTTGGTCTTTTCTACCCTACACCGTCTCCAAAAGAATCCTCCTCTGCCGTGTGCGGGCTCCCTTCCCTGCTCACATCCCTCTGGACCTCCCATCCAGGCAGGGCTGGCCGTTTCCACCATGCCCGGGGTTGCCTGAGCCTCAGCCCTTGGTGTCTTGGCAGCTGGACTGCAGCTGGCAGCATGGTGAGCAACCCTTATCCATCACACTCCCGGCTGGGTCCCCGCTTAACTGGGTTAGTCAGACAAAACGTGTGCGCTGACCTGTTGTTTAGGGGCCTGGTCAGGAGCCCGACTTCAGTTTGGGAAAATCAAACTGCAAACCACGGAGGTATTTTTTTCTACATTTGGTCTAGTCTATAGTTACAGCTTGTATCTAGATGCTTGTGTCTAGATGTCCCCCGAAAGCCTCATGCAGTGGTAAGTGGGGCTTTTCAAAGGTGGCTAGATGTAAACTGTGTGATGCTGGCATTAAGGGTGTGTGGTTACTAAATTAGTCTGATAAATTGGGCATAGCTCTGAGTGTGGATAACAGGAAGGCCCACCCTGGGTGAGCACGCTACCCACCCTAAGAGCAGATAGCCTGGAGGTAAAGGGTAGAGAGGGTTGCTGTGATTGGCTCTCACATGCAGCTTCCTACTTCTGCTGCCTTCTGCCTGCCATGAACTGTTTCTCCTCCACGATACCCCTCTGCCATGCCACCCTGGCTTGCAGCCAGCCAACTATGAACTGAAACCTCTGTGAGCTGTGAGCTACATAAAGCCTTCCTCCTTTAATTTTAGGTCTCGGGTATTTTATCTCAGCAATGGGAAAAGTAACTAAGACATCTCCTTTTACCTCAGGTGCAAAGGCGGTTATCGGCACCCACCCACTACACACCTGACCTTTGCTTCCAGGGAGATAGTCAGTCCCAGGGCCCGCCCCACACCCCTCCTCCCACTCTGGACCTTGGAAACCTCCAGCTCAGAGGGCTGTCCTATACACCGAGCACTGCTCCCTTGCTAAGGCACCGCACACCCAGGGGCCCCAACGCCAGGATCCTGAGAGGCCTGGTAAGTGCCGCGTGAGGCTGGCTGTCCAGACCACCTTGCCCTGCCCTGCTCCTGGCCCCCACATCCTCAGAGGGCCGCCCAGCCCCCAGGGCTCCATCAGGTTCCTGTGTGATCCCTGGCTGTGGCCTCTACCCTGCCTGCTCTTTCCCCATGGATGTCCCATCTCAACAGGTTCCCTCCTGTTCAGCCATCACTGGTTTTTTTTTTGAGCTGGGGTCTCCCCATGTAGTTCAAGCTAGCCTCGAACTCAAGGCAATCCTCCCACCTCAGTGAGCCAAGTGCTGGGATTCCAGCTATGCACCACCACGCCCAGCCGGTCACTGGCACTTTGCTCGTTTCCATACAAGGCTGTGGCCCCCAGAACGAACACAGTTGCTCAGTTATCTGCCTGCACAGGTAGGATTTCAGGCCGGGCCCACCTGCGGCGTTCCCATGCGTGAACACCCAGACATCTGTAGAAGGGGCCAGGATGGAAGACCCAGCGGGTGCAGGGTAGGAGCTGCAGCGGGAAGTAGTAAATGAACCGGCTGCAAGCAGTTAGAAGCCAGTCACTGGAGTGTCTAAGGTGCTCACTGGCATCCTTAAAGAGCTGCAAAAACCTGGCCTCCGGCTTGCAGCACAGAAGGTGATGGCCTGGGCCGTGCACAGCCTGCCGCTGGGCCAGAGGTGTGAACACTGCACTGCTTCCAATCCCAGCTGCACCACTTACTTGCTTGGTGAGCTTGGCAAAGGCCTCAACTTCCCTGGCCTCGGGGTGCTATCTGGAAGCAAGAATTCCTCCTGGTGGTGGGCCAGTGGCATTAAGGACAGCCTGTGTCTTTCGCCCGAGGCAGCAGCATGGAGCTGGTCCGGGACGGCTTCCGCCTGCCGCTGGCTTACGTGAAGGGGGTCCCGCTCATCAACTACTTTGCAGATGCCATAGAGCCGCTGCAGAGCTTCCAGGCCCGGCCCGATGACCTGCTCATCAGCACCTACCCCAAGTCGGGTAAGCAAGGAGGCCACCCTCTCCTGGGCTGCGGTCCCTGCTTGGCGAGCAGGGCCTGGCTCTGAGCTCCGTTCACCTCCACGTTCTCTCTTCCCAGGCACCACTTGGATGAGTGAGATACTGGACATGATCTACCAGGGCGGTGACCTAGAGAAGTGTCGCAGAGACCCCATCCACACGCGGGTGCCCTTCCTTGAGTTCAAGTGCCCAGGGGTTCCCTCAGGTGTGTTCTCGTGACCGGGGGCAAGAGAAGGGGGGAGGGGGACTCTGCTCCAGCTCAGCAGCTGTCCCCCGCCCATGCCTTAGGGCTTGAGAGTGTGAAGGACACCCCCGCCCCACGGCTGCTCAAGACGCACCTGCCTGTGGCCCTGCTCCCCCAGACTTTGCTGGATGAGGTCAAGGTGAGTGCACTGCGGCTGTCCCAGCTCTGGCCCTACTCTACTGGGTTTCTCTGAGCCTTGTCTAACGTCCTATGAGGCGGACACGTGCCTGTCCCTCGGGTGGGGTTCACAGACCAGGAGGACAAGACTCTTCAGTGCAAGCCAGAGAAATGCAGTGCAGGCACTCACAAGTCTGTACAGGACAAGGCCGGTGAGACCCTCCTGTCTTGTTCCAAATCTCAGTGTAGCACTGAAGAGGATCAGATCAGTATCAGATACAGCTCCTGGACCAGCCAGCATTTTGGCACCAAAGCAGAGTGAAAACCCCAGCCCTACCCAGAGGATAAGGTCTCTAGGAAGTCAGCCTGCAAGCCTGTTTCCTCCGCTGCACTGAGAGATAACCTCCTCCAGGGTGCCTGGAGTGACAGGCGGCCGGATTGGGGAGCAAGTCTGCTGTGGCGTGTGCTGTGTGGTGAGCGTGCCTGGCATTTGGTCATCTGCCCTGCAGGTGATCTATGTCGCTCGCAACGCAAAGGACGTGGCCGTCTCCTATTATAACTTCTACAAGATGTGCACGTTGTTCCCGGAGCCTGGCGCCTGGGACGGCTTCCTGGAGAAGTTCATGGATGGCGAAGGTGGGCCTCACTCTGAGGAAGGAGGGGCTCACCACGCCGAGGGCAGTCAGCTCAAACTGAGACTGTGCTGTCTCGTGCCCCCTCCCTCAGTGTCCTACGGGTCTTGGTACCAGCACGTGCGGGAGTGGTGGGAGCTGAGCCACACCCACCCTATTCTCTACCTCTTCTACGAGGACATGAAGGAGGTGAGACCACCACCTGCTGCTGCTGCTGCCGCCTCCCCCTCGGGGCGGCCGGAACCCGCCTGGCCTGCAGAAACCCTCTCAGCGCTGACCCCCGCGGCAGCCCCAGCAATCCAGGCCCCCACCTGCTCCCCAGGACTGTCAACAGTCCTGGTCTCCCGGGGCCCTCATCCGCGCCCACGCGCTCACTGCCCGGCACTCTGGGGCTCTGGCTTCTCCCTGCCCCAGGAAGCGTGTGCCAAGCTGTGGGCGCAGGGACAGCGACGACTTTCCCCGCCCTCCGCCAGGAGGAACCCAACGGGGCCCACTCCAGGATGCCAGGGCAGCAGGGACTGCTCTGCCACGGGAAAGAGGCCCAGAGTCAGAGCTGGGCTGAGAGGCCTCTCTGTGGAAGCAGCCCCTCCCCTGTGACGTGTTTCCTTCAAGAACAACTCGAAGCACGTGTCTGCCTCTGCAGAACCCCAAAAGGGAGCTTCAGAAGATCCTGGAGTTCGTGGGGCGCTCCCTGCCTGAGGAGACCAAGGAGCTCATCGTCCAGCGCACATCCTTCAAGGAGATGAAGAAGAACCCCATGACCAACTACACCACCCTACCCTGTGAGGTCATGGACCACACGGTCTCCCCCTTCATGAGGAAAGGTGGGTGCCTGGCCAAGCGAGGCATAGGGAGCGGAGGGAGAAAGAGCCACCGGGGCCTCCTGTGCGGCCTGGACTCAAGCCTCTTTCCTTCTGTCCCAGGGATCGTGGGGGACTGGAAAAGCACCTTCACCGTGGTCCAGAGTGAGCGCTTTGATGCCCACTGTGCCGAGAAGATGGCGGGCTGCAGCCTCCCCCTCCGCTGGCAGCTCTGAGGGCTACACAGGGTCCTGTTCCAAGGCGTGTGAACAGGCCTGACCCTACTGCAGGAATAAAGGGCGATTGCTAAACCAGGCCCCTGTTGTAAGCAAGGGAGTGCGTGCGCTAAAGAGCCAGCCCCGCTGGCACCCGATACTACCCTTCTCCGACCCAGCGCCAGGGCACCACCTATCTTCTTCTGACGGGAAAGTAAGGCCTAGCAGACATGGGCAGAGGAACAAGTATTTATTTGCTCACAGAAAATCCTTGTTGGCTTCTCCGGGGAGGACTTGGGGCAGCAGCCAGCGGTGTCTGCCAGCCTTCCTCACTTCTTCTTGGGCTCCTTACAAGCCACCACGTACCTCTGCGCCACGTTGAGGGGAGGGGAGTAGCCGTCCGCATAGGAAGTGTCTTCGAACAGGACCGAGTAGTCATCCTGGGGCTGGCAGGGGGAGAGGGACAGGTGGTTAGGGCCTCCCAGGATCAGCCTGCTGCAGGCCCCAAGCCCTAGACTAGCAGAAGGCCCACAGGGAGTTTGCTCCCAGTGTGTCCTGCCCTTGTTTTCCGTTCCGGATGCTCATCTCAGTTATGTGGGTGAAGGGCAAGGGATAAAGAGCAACGAGGAGACTCCCCTCGCCAGACCTGGGGAACTCCTGTGTCAGTGGCAGGAAGGACGCTCAGGAAAACAGGGGCTAGAGATGTACAGGCGCACATCCACCTCGGGCTCGGGCTCCTTCAACTGCCAAAAGGACGCCGGACGGAGGCGCAGCAGGCCTCCCAGTCACGGCTGGGTAAGGCTCCCGAGCTGGGCGGGGCTGGCTCACAGGACAGACACAGACAAGCAGGAGGGGAACCCGCAGGCATGGAAGAGATGCAGAGAAGGACCGAAGACACACACTAGGGTTCCAAAAGGCCTCTCTGCGGACCAGGGATGTAGCTCAGCAGCATAAGCGCCTGCCTGGCAAATGCAAAGCCCTGAGTTCGATTCCTGATACCAAAAACAAAAACAGAAAAGGCTTCTCTACCCAGACGCCTTACCCGCTGTGGGGGCGTGTGGATCAGGGCCCGGTAGAAGCAGGTGGTCTGTGGGTACAGGGCCAGCACGAGCTGCTCCTTCTGAAACAAGGCCTCGGGGTCCGTCTCGGGGTTGGCCTTCCACTGCGGCAGCGGGATGATCCGCCGGCGGCTGAGGGTGTGTCTCCTGCGGGGGGCCCTGTGTCAGTGCACGGTGGGGGGACACCTTCCGAGGAGCCCAGTCCTCCCACCCCCAAGGGCACTCACTCTTTGCCTTCTTCATCAATGTCATCTACTTCATACCTGCAGGTGAACAGATGGAAATCAGTGACGCCATTAGAGTCACAGGCCGGCCAGGGAGGGAGGAGGACGTGGGGAGGGAACTGGCCCGGGATGGGGGTGCGTCGCAGGCACCACCGCTGGCACACCCTGGGCAGGCGGTTCTCCCGCTTGCAGACAGGTGGGAAAGCAGCAGCGCAGGTGTGGCAAGGGCAGCACGGCTGGTGGCTGGGGGTGTCCACTCACTTGTTGGTGGCATGGCTGTAACTGACCACCTCTGCCAGGATCCACTGCTCGTCCCCATCCACAGCCTTCACCCGTGCGGCAACCTTGTCCCCGGGTTTGGCCACGTAGTCCCCAGACGCTGGAATGGCCCCGCAGAGAGGGGGCGGCCTGGGAGGGGGAGAAGTGTCAGTCTGCCCCCGCCCCCCGACACCAGCCCCGCCCGCGCCAGCCTGCCTCACTTGTCACCAGGCTTCCCGATCCACAGAGGCAGGGTCATGGCTGACTGCTGCAGCAGGGTCATCAGCACCCCTCTCCTCATGGTCTTCCGCGGGGGCTCCGAGTCATTGTAAAGCCCCGCGATCTTGGCCGCTGCGGGGAGGAAGTGAGGCCCTGAGGCGCCAGGCACGCCATCCGCCCAGGCCCATGCAGCACCCTGCGTGTGCTGTGGAGCTCAGCAGGAGCCCCGCACTCCCAGGGGACCATCCCCGCCATCCCCAGATGTCCAGGGCTGGGGAGTGGCGAGCTCAACTACTAGATTAGGGAGACAAAATCACAGTTCTTCCTGAGGGGAGAACTAGAAAGGTGCCATGGGGCTTCTGAGGTGCCAATCAAGTTCTGCTTATTTTTTTCCTTCCAGTTGTAGGGACTGAACCCAGGGTATCACATACACCAGGCAACTGCTCTACTACTGAGCTATACCCCAGCCCTTTTAAATTTTTATTTTGATTCTGAGTCTCACTGTGTTACCAAGGCTGGCCCGGACCTTATGCTCCTCCTGTCTCAGTAGCTGGGACCAAAGGTCTGAACCACGGTACCTGGCTCATGTTCTAAGCAGGCTAGGTCACTTAAAGTGACCTAGATAAGCAGGCTAGGTCACTTACAGTTTCACACAGCCATACAGTTCTGTGAACTTTTCTACAAATATACGTTGTAATTCAACCAAACATTGAAAATCAGAGGGTCCAATGGTATCCTTCAGCCCCTCAGCCATGGCACAACACACCCACCCACTGTGAACAGAGTCAAAATGGCGAAGAACAGCACTGGCAGGTGAGGAGTCCGCCCACATTTCCAAGAGGCAGAAAGCCGAGGCAGCGGCGACAGAGGCTCTGACAGTGCACATTAGCGAAGCTCTTCCTGGCTGGCTTAGGGGCACTACGGGCTTTACTACACCCTCAGGCTATCACTACCCAGAGAAGCGTGTGACCAGGAGGAGGGGGAGGACCAGCCTGGGCCACAGAGGTGAGACACAGGAGGGCTGGGGTGGGCTGCCACTGTCTTGGAGGTGAGCTGGGATACCCCGTGCAGTGACTGCCCAGGTGGGGCACCGGGTCCCCTCCCGGAGGCAGGCTTGCCACCCTCAGCGGTCCTCACCCTGCCCGTCGGGAAGCACCTGCACACCCTCCCACTCACCAATCCTTCGCTCTTCCAAGAGAGACTTGATCTCAGCAATCTTATCCAGGGCCTTCCGGAGGATGCTACGGGCGGGGAAGGGACAGAACGGCTGGGTGAAGCAGATGGCATGGGCTTCCTTTTCTGCTAATGGCTAGCTGGGTTGGTGAGGCCAATGCTACAGCTGGAAGCTAGCAACTCTATGTAGTTATTCACTGCACAAAGATGGGACAGACTACGGCGGGCTGCATACACAACGCTGGCCCCGTGAAATTATAATGGAGCTGATAAAATATTGTCTAGGGGCTCACAGCCACTTTAATGTTGTACAACATACACGTCTAAGGCGGTGCTGGTATAAACAAACCTACCGTCCCTGCCAGGCTTATGAGAATAGCGCGTATACAATGACACCCAGTACAGGGTACTGGGAATGATGATAAGTGACTGTTACCGAGTTTGGTATTTACTATTCTTTCGCTGGGTAGAATGTTTCCTGTAAACACACCATGTGCCTCCTTTCACAGCACCTCTTCACTGCATCAATAGACCACACTGAGCGATGACCTAAGGAGTGGTGACAAACCTACAGCACATGTACCACGGCCAGCTGTCTGTTATCACCAAAAGCTCTAAAAGGTTTGCCATCACTGACCTAGAACATCTAGGTTTGTGTAAATGCTCAGGGACGTTTTCACAGTGATAAAATTGCCTAAGGATGTACATCTCAAAATACTACATGGCCTCTGACTACACCGTGTATGTACTCGAATCTTTTCATGGTTGTAGCTTTTGTGGCACTGGTGAAGAACCCAAGGTTCTGTGCGTGCCAGGCAAGCAGTCGCCGCCAAGGTACCCCAGCCCTGTTTTTCCATCTGAAAAGCATAGATGGCAACACAGTAGGAAGTAGCAGGCCAAAAGCCCTAAGAGAAGACAGCACCCTAGAGAGCTAAGTGGGGCAGGCAGAGCTCCTTCGCCCTGAGCGCCTCTGGGCCTGCAGAAATGCTGCTGCAGCTCGGCAGCCCTAACCACCTTTTTTTTTTAAGCTAATATTTAAAAAAAAAATTTTATTGTTTATTGGTACAATTTAGAGATACACAATGATCATAGGCAATCAGTACTATACAGGATGTATTCTGTTTCCTCTTTGCTTTTCTTTCCAATCCCCTCCTATCCCTTCAACTACTCTTCCTCTCCTCATTTACAAGGCTTTGCTTCCATTTTACCTTCTTTTCCTTCCCCTTCCTAACGATCTCTTGAGATGCGGTCATATATGACAATCCAGGGTCTGTCCTAGGTGGGACAGGTAAAAGGAGAACCCTGGGACCCTGGGCAACTGTGCTGGCTCAGACAATCACAGGAGCAGGGGAATTCATCCCTGCAAGACTGCAGCACAACGCTGGCACGGACACAGACCTAGGAACAAGACAAGCCAGCATATGGCAGTTCCAGGGTGGTCAGGACCCAAGTAACCCAGCAGCCATCATCACAAAGCTTTGCTGGAGCCAGGCTTAACACCTGGGGAATCTCCCCAGAGACGATCTCAACAGCAACCAGCGGCAAGCTGCCAACACAGGTCATTTTATTCTCACCGCCCATGGTAAACCTGTCATTTCCTCCAGCAAAGCTTTACTGAGTGCCCGCATGGGATGGGTATGGTGGCAGGTGCCTGTTACCCCGGTTTCTTGGGAGCCCAAGGTACAAGGAATGGAAGTTCAAAGCCAGCCTGGGCAACACACAGGGCGTGATCAAAAATATGGTTAGCAGTAAATTAAAAAAACACTTACAATAGAAGCCACGTTGCCAAGAATGATGGGTAAGTGTATCTCAAGTGAGGGGAATAAATACTCTGAGTATTATGAAGGGACTAACGGCAAAGTGTTCTTTAATACATTTTACTTACATATGCATTTTATTTTTTAAATACACCTCACAGCAAGACCTTGTTTCCAAACTAAAAATGAAAAGGGCTGGCAGAGCACATGCCTAAATGTATTAGGGCCTGAGTTTAATCCCCAGAACAACAGCAACAAAGCCCTCACGACGTAAAGGCCTTCATCACGGACGTGAGCTTGGGAGTACCCAGAAGGCGTGACTCTGGCGGAGCTCGCCAGGCAGGGACCAAGACACAGAAGGGGCTGGCCACACCAAAGCTGCGCGGGGCAACAGCCCGGTTGGCTGGGAGGGCTGGGCAGTAATAGGGCACCCCAGCACTAGCATGCTGGGAATAAAAACCAGGAGGCTAACGGCGATCCGCAGGAAGCAGCCTGTCCTTTGGTTATAAAAGACATCAGCAGTCAATTATGAAATATGAGTAAGGTCTCTAAGTTTTGGGTTTTTAAGTTGTGGGGTTGAACCCATCGCCCTCACATGGAGCTATACTGCCTCTCCTTTTTAGTTTTTACTCTGAGACAAGCTCTTGCTAAATCACTAAACTGCCCAGGCTAGACTCAATCCTGCCGCAGCCTCCCAAGTGCTGGGATTATGGGCCTATGCCACCACACCCAGTTTACTTTTATATCTGAGTGAAATGTCCTGATTTTGAGAATTATACCACAGCTGTGCAAGACTGCCTCTGTTTTTAGGAAGCTGTTTTCAGACAACTTGTTAGAGCATCCAGATCCTCATCCTGATCAGCACACTGTGACACTCAGTGACAGGGGTCTCCCCACCTGGACTGCAAAAACCTTCCAGTGGCTGAGCCGGCATCTCCCCTGCCTCGCTTGTGCGCGTTCCCGGCATGGTACTAAGAAGGCCTGGCTCAACGCGCAGGAATAAATGTACGAAGGCGCAAGCCTGAAAGAGTGAGGCTGTGGCAGAACTGTGCGGTGGGCCCTGCATTTACCAACCAGGCTTCGCAGTGTTTCACTCTGAGTCAGTCATCGCCAGAGACTGCCCACACCAGACCTGTGCCCGTCTCTGCTCTGCCAGCAGTCGGGCAGGGTGGGCACAGCTTGCTGTGGAGGGCTGGGGCGGGGCTCAGGGTAGAGAACTGTGCAGCATGCAGGAGGCACTGGGCTGGATTCCCAGCAACACACACAAACACACACACACACACACACACACACACACACACCACACACACACACCACACACACCACACACACCCACACACACCCACACAGAGCATAAAGCGCGCTCACTGTACTCCAGTCCAGGCGAGGGAAAAGGCCTGACTTTGGCCAGATGATAATCTGCAAGGCAGGGCTGGGGGAGCTGGACAGTCAGGAGGAGGAAGCTGTTTCAAGGCAGCAGCTCCGGTCAGAATTCAGTGTCTCTTCCCCCCAAGTCCACCCTACTCCGTTCTGCCCCAGCTTGACACAAGAACCCCACAAGACCCCTGTCCAGGTTGAAAACCCCGGAATCTTCAACGTCCTCCCTGCAACTGGCCCCCTAACCTGATCTCAGAAACTGGTCTTGAACACGCCCTCCTCTTCACCCCCACTGCTGCTGTCCCACTCCCCTCCGGCAGCATCTCAGGCCCGGTCTCCTCGCGAGCCTTGAACCCTACCAGCTATTACTTTCCTTAAGTCTTCATTGGCTCCCGGTGGCCTCCAAGACAAGACCCACAGCAGAAGAAGCCTCGAACCTCGCCCTTCCCCTTCCCCCTCCCTTTTCCTCATCACACGTGCTCTGCAGCTCCTCTGCCAGGCCTTGGCACACTCTGTCCTGCCGCCGGAGCTCTCATCTGTCTACGGATTCCCAGCTCACGGACCAGCTCTATCCCCCCTCCCCTCGGGGCCATCTCAGAGCCCTCACCTCTGCTGGCCACCAACTGCACTATCCTGCATGTTTCTTAGGGGGTCCCTCCTCCCTGGACTACGCCCTTGAAGGAAGGGTTCTCCCCATCCTTGTCACCTACGGGAATGGACCAGACTCAGAGGAGCACAGCAAAGGCTTGCACAATGGTTGCTGAAGGCAAGGAAAACCAAGGGCCATGACCCCAGGACAGAGGACGGGGAAGCCACACAGGGGCCATTATTAATGTTTAGAGTGCTGACTCTGTCCCAGGGCCCTGAACGAGCACAGCAATTACTGTCTGCTTGTTTGAGATAGGTCTCACTATGTGGTCCAGGCTGGCCTTAAAAATCACAGCAATCTCCCTGCCTCAGCCTCCCAAGGGCTGGGATTACAGATGCATGCTACTATGCCCAGCTGCAAAGCAGTTATTTAAACTGCAGATTGTGAGTTACTGGGGCATCAGAAAATTAATTTCTTGGGTGCAAACTACATTTAAAAGTAAATAAATAAAACCTTAAAATAGACTATATGTAACTGAAACTTTTTTCTTTTTTTGTAACTAGAACTCTTGTTTTAATTCTGTGACATTCAGATAAAACAAATTTGTCTGTGGAAAGCCATTGCTATATCATCCAGCAGGTATAGATTTGGGGCTTAAAAGTCAGGCTTCCCAGGTAGGTATGGCAGCATGTATCTATAACCCCCAACACTCTTGGGGGCTGAGGCAGGAGGATCCTAACTTCAAGTCCATCCTGGGTGACTTGGCAAGACCCTGTCTCAAAAACTTTGAAAATGCTAAGGAGATAGCTCAATGTGAAGTTAACTGGGTTCAATCCTCAGTGCCCCCAAGAAGTAAAGAAAATCAGGTTTCCCTACTTGCTAGCTGTGCGGTTTGGGTGGATTACGTAACCCCTTGGTGCCTTGGTTTCTCCATCTGTGAAACAGCAGTAACAGCGACAGCTACCTCAAGGGGCGTTATGAGGACTCAATGAGGGAAATATAAAAGTACTTGCAGTGGCAGGAGGAGCACAGGAAGCCCACGGTAGAGAATATATTTCTTTTTTTTTTTTTCCGGTACCGGGGATCAAACTCACAACCCTGCACTTGCCAGGCAGGCGCTTATGCCACTGAGCTATATACCCAGCCCGAGAATGTATTTCTTACCGCAAGGGACCGTCAGAAGAGTCTGTGGAATGCTGGCATCTGGCACTTTCTATGAATTATCCCATTTTATGTTCACAGTCCTGTAGAGTGTTATTATCTCTATTTTAAGGATGAGGCAACTGAGTCTCGGCTGAAGTGACTACCCCGGGTCATGCAGGAGCCTCTCCTCCCCAGGACAGGCAGGCTGGGCACGCAGGCAAAGGGCGCACGGCGGGGCCATGGACAGTACTCACTTGCACTCGGCCTCTGCATCAGCCTTGGCAGTTGTGTAGAGGCCGCGCAGCTTTGTTCGGAAATAAGGAGAAACTATAAACACAGGAATAAGGAGCCGTGAGCAATATGGCGCGCGTCCAGGGCACAGGGCTCAGACTGGGACGCTCAGAGCCCGGGGCCTGCAGTGTGGGCTTCATGCTCAGAAGCGCTTGCCGGGGCGGATGCTCCCCTCCAACAAGCTCACACTTCCAGGTGGCACGGATACCATCTCCACACCTCGGGGAGCACTTTCTGACCTTTCCAAACCACAGCGCGCACGGAAGCCGTCTGCCGGCACAAGACAGACAGATCCACCGACAGCCAGTCAGAGCTGGAAAGCACCAGCCCAGGGGCTTAGTCACTGCAGGACTAAGGTACGGCAGGGAACCCAGGAGCGAAGCCCCGCCCCAGGAAACCCCAGGCGGCGGGGTGCCTGTGCACGCAAAGGGCAAGTTCCCCTAGACAGCGCCACTGACTTCAGTCCCGAGAGCGGAGGGACACGGAGGTTCTGCAGTGCCGAGCCACCTGTCACCAGTCTCCTGCATCACTTTAGGTCACTCGGCCCGAGGAAACAGTCCCTCCGATCTGAGGAGCAGCGTGCTTTGTAAATGCAGATACACGCAAGTGAGCCTTTACGACACAGCGACAGCCACGCCCCAGGCCCAGCCCACAGCCCCTCCCTCCACTCTGCTGAGCACACCTACTCACTTTTGTTCTCTGTCTGCATCCGCTCGTGGGTCTTCTGGATGTTCACTAAATTGTGTTCGCTACGGGAACGCTCTTCCTGTGAGGACCAGGTCAAAAGGACATGAGGTAGACCCTTCATCCTGCGCAGTACTCTGCTTCCCTTTCCAGAATTCCAAATTCAAGAGAAGTTCAAGAAAATTTTTTTCCCTGACTAAAGCAAAAACGTCATAAAAGCCATCAAAATTAAATCATTAAGTTATGTGTTCTGACAACCCTTCATCAGATTAAAGGGATCCCCATAAAATTCCAGCTGATTTCTTCACAGAAACTGACAGGCTCATCCTGCACATCCTAAATGTACACAAGTGCAGAGACCCACATCAGCCCAATCCTGAAAAAGAAAGATGAGGTTGAAGGACTCACATTTTTAGGTTCAATTTTTACTACAAAGCTACAGTGATCCAGATGATGAGGTACTAAATTATAGATCAATAAAATGGAATCAAAAGTCCAGAAATTAAGACAGGTATGGTAGCACATGCCTGTAATCCCAGCACTTGGGAGGCTGAGGCAGGAGGACTGCTTTGAGTGTGAGGCCAGCTTGGGCTACTTGTGAGTTCAAGGCCAGCCTGGACTAGAGCAGTGACATGCCCAACATACCACAATGTGTTATATGTGACTTCACACCCTCATATTTGTGAATGAAAAACCATTTAAATGAATAAGGAAGCCAGGTGTGGTGGTGCACACCTCTAATCCAGCACTCAGGATGCTGAGGCAGGAACAACACAGCGAGTTTGAAGCCAGCCTGGGTGAGGTTAAGGGCAGCTTGAGCTATAAAGCCAGACCCTGTTTCCAAAGAAAAAATGGGTTTCTGGTAAGTTTATTAGGCATCGCCTAGTAAGTCCAATTCCCCTGGGGAACAGTCCCACATAGAGCCAAGGAAGGCAGTAGGAGGCAAGCAGTCCCCTCAGGGCAAGTCACCTAACTGTGACTCCCACTCATCTAACCCGAGCTTGGAGCAACTGCCGCAAAACACGCACCCTCTGTTGGGAAAGGGCTTGAACTCTGACCCAACAGGACCACTCTGCTGCTTGAACACAGACTGCGGGACCGAGTAGCCATGGGGCAAGGCCTCTCCATCCTAGCTGATGAGGTCAAGGGGGCGCACTACAGGAATCCTGCAGACCTCAAACCCATAGAAGTCTTCTAGGGACACTTGTAATTCACAGCATGATTTTATTGTTCTTAAACCAGACAATTGTTTTTTGTTTTTTGGTTTTTTTTTGATACCAGGAATCGAACTCAGGACCTTGCACTTTCTGGGCAGGCACTTGTGCTGCTGAGCTATATCCCCAGCCCATGTTAAACCAATAACAGATGAAAACAGGTAATATCCTGGCCAGCCTGGGCTACATGCTGAGTTCAAGGCCAGTCTGGATTACATAATAAGACCTCTCAAAAAAACAAAAAAAGAAAGAAAAAGAAAAAAGAAATATCCTGAAGTACAGTGAGCAGGGCTAAGAATTATTCTGAGCACCATCTATGCCCTCCCCATAGGAGGGAGGTGAGTCTTGCTACCTAATGGTATGGAAATCTGTCTCAACAGAGCTGGAGCCCAGAAACAAGCGAACCACAGCCAATACAGTAATGCATAACAATGCCTGTCCAAGTAACACCTGACACACAGGCAAGGACGTATTTTGCTGGATAGGCATAACAAGTACTATGTAATTCCCACTGATCTGTTCTGTTAGGAAACAATTTTACCACGACCACACTTCAGATGGCACTGCACGCCGGTACTGCTGGTGAGATTCAACTACCTTAGCGCACATGATACAGTGCTGACACTGACGAGCAAATGCAAGCCTGCTGAGAATACAGTACTGATGGAAAATGACTGGCCTGAGGAAGAGCTGGATTCGGCCAGTCATCAGCTAATTTCTACGCTAAAAGTTCTATGGAAATTTATCATAAGATACAGATAGTGCTAGGTGAAGGCGAAGGAAACTACTCACATTAGAAAAATACGAAAACGTAATGACTTTATAGATTTTTTCTTTCCATCTGTCTGCTTTCTTTCTTTAGAGGCAAGGTCTTGCTTTGCTGTCCAGGCAAATCTACTATACATTTCAGGTTGCTCTCAAACACACAATTCTCCTAACTTATCACCAAGGTGGTGGGATTACAGGCATGAACCATGACTGGCTTACCTGTATCGGAAGCTTCTCCGAACCCTGTATATTTTTTGTTTTGTTCTGTTTTGTTTTGTTTTAGTACTGAGAATCAAACTCAGGACCTTGCACTTGCCAGGCAGACACTGTGCCACTGAGCTGTATCCCTGGCCCCAAACCCTGCATACTCTAAAAAACAGGTTTGGCCAGTATGGTGGACAGCACTCTGGAGCTTGAAGCAGGAGTTTTATTTATTTATTTTGGGTTTGTTTGTTTGTTTTGAGACGGGGTCTTATTATATAGTTCAGGCTGGCCTTGAACTCACTATATAACCTAGGCTGGCTTCAAACTCACAGTGATTCTCCTGCCTCAGCCTCCCAAATGCTAGGATTATAGGCCTGTGCCACCATGCCCAGCAAAGCGGTTTTATGAGTTTGAAGCCAGCCTGATCTATATAGTGAGTCAATACTAGCCTTCTATATGTCTCAAAAAACCAAAATAAAAAATAAAAAGTTTGGCCTTTGACCAGCTCTTGCTCAAGAGTGTCTTTGTTTACAGAGTAGGAGGATAAAGGCAAAAGGAGAGTAACCACTAATGGGTGTGGGACATTTCTGTCAGGTGACAAAAATTCTCTGAAATTAATCATAATGCTTGCACAAATCTGGGAAAACTGTATTTCCCCCAAAACAAGACTGGGTCTTATATTCATTTTTGTTGCAAAAGATCCTACAGGGCTTATTTTTAGGATGCCCTTTTTTTATGTATAGTAATCTACATTTATTCATGTACAAAAATCTATATTTAAATACAACCATGCCATTTTCTTCTGGAACACTGTTGTAACTCCTAAACCTGGAATTCCAGCCTGAATTTCTTTTTTTGTTACCGGGAATTGAACTCAGGACCTCATGCTTGCCAGGGAGGCGCTGTGCTGCTGAGCTACTTCCCTGGCCCAGCCTGAGTTTCTTGTCACTCCATTTCCCGTAGACCACTGGCCTCAGTCTCTCATGTCCAGCAGCAGAGCTCTCCTTAAACGGGCACGTCTCACCCACGTAGCCTGCTTGTTACAACACACGATGTACTGAATTATGAAGATCCATACTAGACACAGCCACGACCTTTCGTTATCAAGTGCGCACATTATCTGTGCTTTGTGGCTGTGCCCCGACTGGTCACTTGGCAGTTAAGTCTTGAGCTCACCTGTTTACACAGACGTTTACCCCTCATCCCAAGGCACTCGCTTTCGTCTTTACAAATACTTAACTGTAATTTATACTACCACATATTTTCAGTATGAATGCCAATAATATTTACTTACAGTTACATATTAGCATTATTATTTTATAATTCGGTATGTTTGTTGTGTGTTGCAGCAGATATACTAAATGCATCCATCTGGCTGACAGTCTGAACTGGGGCTTATTTGGGGGTAGGGCTCATATTATGAGCATCCTGAGAAACCATGTTAGGGCTTATTTTCCAGTTAGGTCTTATTTTCAGGGAAGTACAGTACACTGAAAGCCACTGAACTGTATACTTTACACAGATACACTGTCTCTCAAAATCCTACACAAAATTCTGACATCTTGCACACAACGAAGTTCAACAGGAATGGTAGTCATACCTAAAATTCCCCTCCCCTCACCCTTATCATGTCAGCTCAGTTCCTGCCTGTCCAATCTCGTGAACACAACCCCTACCCCGCTCTCTCTGGCTCACCATCCAGCCCTTGTTCCTGGATGGTGAAGGGCCGTGCCATTTTACCTGGGTTTGCTTGATCAGCTGGTGGAGCTCCGTGAGAAGTTCTGCAATGCGGGAGTCGGCAGACACCAGGGCCATGGTAATATGTGGGACGCTTGATGGGGGAGGGAGAACAGAAGAGAGCTCTGTGAGTGGCTACTGTGGGTTGAACTCCACCCCTTCTAAAGACACACTGGGCCGGGCATGGTGGCACACGGAAGGCAGAGGCAGGAGGATCATTGCAAGTTTGAAACTGTACTGTAGCCTGGGCTACAAAGTGAGCTCAAGGCCAGCCTGGACTGCATAGAGAGACCCTGTCTCAAAAAGACAGAAAAAAAAGATATGCTGGGCCAGGCATGGTACAGGCCTGGAATCCTAGCATTCTGGGAGGCTCAGGCAAGAAGATCACAAGTTCAAGCTCAGCCAGGGCAAAATAAAAAAATAAAATAAAAGGGCTAGAGATATAGCTCAATGCGAAGCCCCCGGGTTCAATTTTGGGTTCAATTTCCACTACAAAAAAAAAAGTTGGTCTCTACCAAAATACTCTAAGACTATTTCAAACCTATGCAGAAGAGATATTTCCCCCTTTATAGATTCGTCCATTTAATTATATTTACTAAACATCTACTCTCGCAGGCAATGAATGAGGGTTATACAGCAATGAATGAGATAAGCAGGTTCTGCCTTTTAGGAAACAATTCAGAGAGAAAAGCCAACATTAAATATAGTCATGCACAGCTTAAAAACAGGCAAATATGTAATGGGGGTCCCATAAGTAGCACTTAAGTTTTTTTACTGTACCTCTTCTATATCTAGACATAGAAATGCCATTTTGTGACAGTTACCTCCAGCATTTAGTGCACATGATACGCGTGTAGGGTTATAGCCTAGGAACGACAAGCTGAACCATACAGCCCACACCACACAGTCTAGGTGGGCAGGAGGCTACAGTACACGCTTGTGCAAGCACGGTCTATGATGCTCACATAAGGAAGTCACCTAGCGATACATCTCCTAGAATATAAGCCAGTCAGCAAATAACCAACGACAACAGTTCCATATTCTTATTCTTAGGTGAAATAACCACAACAGGAGACAAACGACAAAACAGATAAATAAATCTGAACACATGACAGAGAATCTCAAAGAACTAAAATTCTCAAACAGAAAGAACCTACCAAGTGCCAAATACAGCACTCAGACACTTCATTTTTACTTACCTATTTACATTTGGTCTTTTTGAGATAGGGTTTCACTATGTAATTCAGGCCAGTCTTGAACTCACTTTGTAGTCCAGGCTGGCCTCAACTTATACCAACCCTCCTGCCTCAGCCTCCTGAGTGCTGGGATTACAGGCTACATCTGGTTCAGAAGTGAAACTTCAAACCTCAAGGGTAAGTAGGTCGCTAATAGGTTTGTGGAGAAGGAGAAGAGAGAAAACACATCATGAATACTTCATAGATTTTAGCCCGAGATGCTGGAAGAACAAGAAAATACGAGGTGTGGTCTGTGAAGGATAAAACTCAAAATTTCCATTTGGAACACCATCAAAATGCCAATTAGACATTTAAGAGGTGTTACGCCAGAGCTGAGTCTCATGAATTCAGATGACTCGAGTTCAAGGCGGAACACCACGCTTAAGATAGAAATTTTATAGCAAAATAAATGGTATTTATATTTACAGAATAGTGGGGAAAGCCAAGGGAGTCAATAGAGACAAAGAAGCCATCTAGCGTTAGGCCTTGGGTACAGCTATTAAAAATAAAAGGCGCAAAAACCATTGAAAGAGAAGTCAGGGGCAAAGTAAGAGGATGGCTAGCAAGCCAAATGAAGGTATTTGGAGAACTGCATCAAATTCTACCACGGGACGAGAACTAACCTAAAACTGAACAGAGCAACCCTGGCATCATTGGCAGCTTCGGCAAGGGGCTGTTTTGGTGGAGTGGCGGGGGCCAAGGCCTCCCGGGGTGGGCTGAAAATAGACTTGGAGTGAGAAAGGCTCTAGTGGGTACACACGGAAGCCTCCGACATAGCTAGTGGGTGAATAAAGTTGTTCTTTTCTTTTTTTTTTTTTTCTTGTCTTTTTGAGACAGGGTTTTGCTATGCACTTCAGGCTGATCTTGAACTCACTTTGTAGCTGAGGCTGGCCTCAAACTCACAGCGATCCTCCTGCCTCAGCCCAGCCTCCAGAGTGCTGGGATTACAGGCGTGAGCCACCACACTCGGCGGTTGTTGTTTTTAAAATGGGCAGTTTTATTTTCGTTTTATTTTTGTCGGTAGTGGAGACTGTGGCCAGAAAACGCTCCCCCAAACACACAACACGTATTTTTTTTTTTTTTTTGGACAGACTTGCTAAACTGCCAGTTTCTTAGGCTAGCTTCAAACTTGGAATCCTCCTGCCTCAGTCTCCCGAGTAGCCGCGTTCACAGGCATGCGCTGCCACGTACGCTCTATTTTCTTTTAGAAGGTGGCTACTTCTTGTGCACACAGCGAAAAGCGTCGGGGTTCAGGGTTCGTCCTGACTGCCCGTCTTCCCGCACTGGTTTAACATCCCAGCCCGGACGCGGGGCGCAAGCGCACTGGGCCTCTCCAGCCGCCCCCCCACCGCCCCCGCCGTACCACCCAGGGCGCGTGCGCGCCGAACCAAGCGACGCCTGTATAGCTAAGGCGGGGAACGTGGGCCCAGCGTGAAGGTTGCGGTCATTCGTTCCCAATTTCTCCCGAGTTCCCAAGCCACGGCCTAGCCTCACCCAGAGACTCCCAGGCGAAACAAACACGTCTCACTGGCAGTTGCGAGGCGGGAACAGGCGCGTCCTCGAATGCTTCCTTAGTCCGCAGACGGCCACGCGCTTCCGTTCACAGACTGCCGACCATCGAGAACCACACGCGCTTTTTTTCCTTTTTATAAGCTGGGGCTAGCGCGGCGGACCCCTTACGCAGGCACACGTCGGCGTGCTGCGCTGCCTCCTGGGAAATGTAGTTTTCACTTTGGCTCCCCGTGTCTCACTCTGAACTGAGTTCTGACACAGCAAAGCAGCCGGTTGTTGATAAGGGGAAAAGGGTCCCCAAGGAGTATATGAAACCTATGCACTTTCAGCTCAAGTTTGCCCAAAACCTAAAACTGCTGTAAAGAATAAAGTCTATTTTATGTACGTGTAACCAGTCCCCGAGATGACTGTAAACTGCATGAATTACAAACATGTACTAATAAAATGAAAAAAAGTGTTTTGTAAAACTTTTAAATAAATTGTATACAAGCAGATCTTTGGACCCAGAAATTACACTTTTACGGAATCTTACCAGGAAATGAAGGACGTGGACATGCAAACATTTAGTTACAACAGTATCTATCAAAAGCTATCTTGATAGCAGAACATGATGGCGCACACCTGTAATCCCGGCACTCGGGAGGCTGAACCAGGAAGATCCTCCGGAGTTCGAGGCCAGCATGCGTTATATAAGGGTGTTTAAGACCAACCGGCCTTACAACTACATAGTAAGACCCAGCCTAAAAAAAAGAAAAAAGAGAAAAAACAAACGGGGGGGTGGGGGAGAAGCTGGGCCATAGTGGCGCATGCCTGTAATTCCAGCACTTGGGAGGCTGAGGCAGAAGGATTGCCGCAAATTCAAGGCCAGCCTGGGCTATACAGTTAGTTCAGGGGCAGCCTGAACTATACAGCAAGACCTTGTCTCAAAAAAAAAAAAAAAAAAAAGGAAAGAAAGCTATCCTGATGTTTTACCACTTCTTATGTAACCCGTATAAGTGCCTATAATCATATACTTGCTTGTCAATTATTTGATGAACTTGCAAACTATATGAAGTCCGGATTATACGGTTTTTTTCTGGGTATTCTCAGTATCTAACACAGTTCCTGGCACACAGTAGGCCACTGATACTTGTTTATGTAATAGATTCTCAAGCTTCAACACTGAAACTACTGCAGCCTGAATACTAGCGCATCATTTTTTCATCAGTCTTGCACTTTTTTGGTTTCTAGCACAGTGACGGCGCAACCGTCCATCAAGTCTCAGTTCTGCATCCTGTTTTTGTGACTATTGTGCCATGAGGGCTTTCACGAATTTCACATTTATAAAGTTTTCAGGCGCTGTCTCTTCGGAGTGTCAAACATCCACTGCATTTGCACAGAGATTTGGGGTTCACGGTTGTTTATAAAGTTTACCTTGGCCCGGCAGCCCCCACGAGGCGCCTGCGCACTCGGTGACCTTCCGGAGAGAACAGGGTGTGGCGCGGCCCCGGCGGTCGTCCTGCCGAGGTGCTTCAAAGCTTAATTAAAAATATCTGGGTCCCCTTGAAGCCATACTATACCCAAGTTTACCAGGAGATTTGGGTAGGAATGGGGTTGATGAGCTTCATTGTTTATAAAATCCAACGTGCTGATAAAAGAAGTAAAGCTTTAAAAGGTTCAAGTCCTGCGCCTGCTCATGGTCACCGGCTCTCTTCAGTATGCATGAGGTGAAACATCTCATGTAACCTGAAGCAAGCTGTGTTAGTTGGGGACACACCGTCACTGTACACCTCCATAAGCAGCGCTTCCCTGTGGCATGAATAAATGTACCTCTGAGAGGCACCACCCCAGTCTGGACTGCTCCCTGTGTCCTCCAGCAGACCCTTGGTGTGTAGCAGCTGTCCTCAGAGCCTTACCCACCCACCCTCCGATAACCCTCCTGAATGAGGAACTCACATCGAAGTTGCTCACCAGAGGGGTCGGGCTTCTGGGTCTAGACACTCCGATTCTGATATTCAATAAATGTGCGCTTAACAAAAAAAAGTTTATCTTGTATTCCTTATTTTCTACCATAGACATGTTAATTTTTTTTAAAGTGTAGTGTTTTGAGTAGGGTGTGGTGGCGTACAACTGTAATCCCAGCTGTTGAGAGGCTGAGGCAGGAGGATCATTGTGAGTTCAAGAGCAGCCTGGGCTACAAAGTGAGCTCAAGGCCAGCCTGAACTGCATAGTGAGATCCTGTCTCAAAAAGACAAAAGAGAAAAAAAAGTGTGGTGTTTTGGCAAATGTACTAATAAAAAATCTGTGGGTTTCATTTTTGGTATTTTTTTTGCTGGTGTTTATGTTTTTGTTTTGAGACAGAGTTTCTGAGTATAGTTTAGGCTGGTCTTGAACTCTGTAGCCCAGGCTGGGCTGTTGTATTTGAACAACTTTAACACGATGCTGTGTATGCCTTGGAGCCAGCCAAGCATAGACTACATACATGAGCCCAGCTAACCCTCCCCTCCTTGTTGGGAGTTGTGGTGGATTGACAAGTGGTGGTCAATTTATAACCCCAGCTGGACTGAGTCAGCATGGTGCTGGGTGTGGGAGCCCACCTGGGGACTGTTGCCAGCAGCATAAGAGGCAGAACTGGAGAAGGACAAGGAGGCTGTTGGGAGCTGAGAGAGGCTGTTGGAGCTGGTGGAAGCTGTAAGGAGCTGTTGGCTCTGTTGGAGGAGCTCATCATGCTGGCTTTCCTGATAAACTTGGCTGTTTTCATCCTCCGAGGAGTTCGGACCTTGTTGGCACTGAGAATGGGGCTTTGGTTCACTTTGGGGGAGCTCTGGTCCTCTCTCTGAGCATCACTTCCTGGCTCTAGAGGGGA